GAGGAGAAAAATCCCAAAGGGCCCAAACCCGGGGTTTTGAACCACAGACCTTTTTTTTGGCCCGTAGAGGGAAACCACCTAAAACCACGCCCTTTAAAAGGGGGTTAATCTAAAAAGCAAGGCTTTTGGAAAAGGTGGCCTATATACCTAAAAACCCAAACAAAACACTCCCCCCCTTTTTTTTTAACTTTTCGGGAGCTAGCCAGCTCTCCTGAAATTTTTTTCCCACCCCCCCCGGGTTTTACCCACCCAAAACCCCGCCCAAAAAACTTTTTTGACCCCAATTTAAAGAAAATTGGGGGCAGAAAAATCCAAAAGGGCCCAAAAACCGGGTTTGAAACACATCTTTGGGTCCGTTGGGCCGGACACCTAAACCCACATCGTTTAAATTTTTTCCCCAAAACAGCAAGGCTTTTTTTTTTTTACCAATACATTTTAATAGGTCGCCATTTTTTTTTAATGCTATAAGCAGTGAATAATAAGTAGTAAGCCGTAAGCAGTTGACAGTAAGCAGTAGGCAGTCAACATTTGCAATTCCATAGTATATTGATTTCATTAATGTTCCCAAAGAAATAATTGAGATAAATTATAAAAAGTTATGAAAGTATAACCAATTCTGTCAATAAAACCTAAATCAATACACCGCATAGTTACGAATATCGATCAACAGATCAATTGGTTTATTATGTTAATACTTACATGTAGTAAAGCCTATCTAGTCAGATTATGAACAGGTATAATATATTAAAATATATATTAAAAGATATAGTTCCCCCTTAGCATTAACAAGCGGTTTGCTCAGTTATGTCAAATTTAATATATTAACAAATATAACATGTTATATCCAAATGTTTTTTGTTGATGCATTTTTGGTGAAAAAGACAACCTCAAAGAGAAAGTTTGATCTCACACCTGGTCAGTGGTTGAGAAACCAAATCCATCCCTTTTATCAAAAACAGTTTCTATGGCCATTATAAGGTTTTTTGCCATAGACCGCGGAAATACAACTTTTGTTTGGTTACTAGGATATGTTTTCATATGTAAATGGTATAAACTTTAAATGTTTTAAACACTTACTTTTTTTGTTTCAGTTCCATCTGTTACTTTCCTACCAAGTGCGACATTTAGCGTCAAGGGGTTGCGACATTTAGCGGCAATCGATTTTTGTGGCGACATATAGCGGCAACGTTGCGACATTTAGCGGTAGGCGATTGCGACATATAGGCGTTGATTGCGACATATAGGCGTCAGCGTTGCGACATTTAGCGTTTAGTTGGCGACCATTATAGCGGCGTTTGCGACATTATAGCGTTTGCTACAATGTCGACTATTTAATTAAAGTAAAAACACTGCTGACCAATTTAATGTTATTTCAAATTGATTGAAGAAGCCGTAAAACTCTTCTTTATTTCTATATTTGGTTAGCAAATTTAACGCTCTTTACATTCAGGCGAGAAAAATGCTGTACCAGTTAAACATATACACATGTAGTAGAATGTTGCTGACCAGTTAGATATATAGGGAAACCTGCCTGACCAGTTAAAAATATAGAAAAAAAATATATTTTGGTCGTGAAATTTTAAATTCATTTTATAATGTACGAAATTCAATATATTGTATATAAAATTTTGTCGACATTTAATTAAGTTAAAACACTGCTGACTTATTTAATATTAATTCAAATTGCAATTTTGCCTTTTAAAAAGTAACCATTTTTTGTTGTTTTTTTTTTTCCGTTACAAGAATTTTTCTATTGGGAAATATTTCACTTTAACAAGGATTTTGTATTAAAACTCATAAACACTATTTAATTCTTTATATAAAAAACATTAATTTTTCAAATTTTTTGCTTAATTTTATATATCTTTTTTTTAGAGGTATTTTTTTTAAAAAGCTTGTTTAATATATCCTTTTAAAAAATCACGGATTTAATTACATGTAGTGAATTGTAAATCCGGTTAAAAAATGTATTTGATTATTATGGTAACTTTAAAATGTGATTATATTAATTTTTTGGTTTATAAAACATAGTCATGATTAAATGTTCAAAAATATTATAATGAAAAATTATTATTAATTAATATAAATAAAAAGGGGTAATTTATTATAAATAGTTGGGTTAATTTCCCATCTTTTAAATTACCCCCTTTTTTATTTCTTACGGCGTGTTTTAAAAAATTTTAAACCATTCCTTTTTCCAATTTTTCCCTTCTTTTTTTGTAATTTGGTCATTTTTCCCCGATAATCCTTTTTTTAATTTTAACGGGGTCAGCAATTTTCCTTTTTATATCTATTTTTTCTTTTTTCAGCTAACGTCAGAAAGTTAGGGGCGATTTTTTTTCCCATAAATCGCCCCTTTGGGTCGGTGATTTTATAAATTTCCTGACCAAGCCCCGGGGTTAAAACGCACAAAATGCGGATACAAAATTATTTTTCCCAAAAATGTTCGTTTCCCGCTTGTCGAGTGTCGTTTTTTTCCGTTGTCAGTTGCCCTTCGCCGTTGTTCGATTTCGTTTCGCTTTTTCAAAGTGCCCCGCTTGGGCAATTTTGAGCTCGCGGTTGAAAAAAATCAAAAAAAATAACGCGACAATTTACTCGAAAATTTTTAAAAAATTGTCGCTTTCGCGATGTCGAGTGTCACTTCGCATTTGTCGAGCGTCGTATCGCATTGTCGCGTTGTCGTTTCGCATTGTCGAGTGTCGTGGTATGCACTTCTACCCAACCTCGACACTCGACAATGCGAAGTGACAATGCGACAACGCGAAGTGACATCGCGACCAACGCGAAGTGACATCGCGACAACGCGAAGCGACGCCTCGACAATGCGAAGCGACACTCGACAACGCGAAGCGACATTTCTTAAAGTGTCGCCCTTTTTTTTTTTTTTACCGCGACATTTCTAGGCGACAGTGCGACATATCGTTTGACACTGTCGAGCGTCGCTTTCGCATTGTCGCATATCGCTTCGGCGTTGTTCCTTTGTGTTAAGCGTCGCTTTCGTCATTTTTTGTCGTGAATTTCATCTTTTTCGCATTGGGTCGTTGTGTTTCTACCCTTAGACTGGCGCATATTATTTCTCTTTTTTTTTCTTTCTTTTTTCCTGTTATTTTGTTTATTTTATTTTATTTTATTATATTTTTTTGTATGTTTTTTTTATTTTTCTATAAATTGGCACGATAAGAACATCTCGTACAAGTTTAGACATTGATTAAGTTTGAATTAATAAATCATCATGAAGAATTAGGGAGGCGAACTCCTCATTTTTTTGCATCGTTTAGAAAACGTGTGGATTGAAATTTAAGAGTCTGATATTAAAAATATTCTTTTCGTGGATTTAAAATAGACATGATAAATAAGTGTCCCTTTTATTTAAAAAAAATTTTCACCTCTTTCGTTACAAACGTGATCAAATGGATTTTTTTCAAAAGCTTTCATTAATTTTAAAATCCAATTTAATTAGTGTTGAATCAAATTACTGACGTTACTACAGTAGATATATAGATATGTGACTGATGATGTCAGGAAATATTCATTTTGGTGAAGATTGGGTTAATAAAGTAGACATTTTTATGTTTTTGGAAGGAAATTTTTTCAAAAAAAAAATTTCCTTTCTATAGTATCGGTCTGCCTATATCAAAAAGAACGAACAACACCTAATTGCATTCTGTTTAAGCTCAATAGAAAATAAGTAGTTAATGCGACCAAGAAAGTAGTGCAGCAGAACTATATGTATACTTTCAAACGTGGATGACTTGAAGAAAAAGCTGATGTTCAAAAAAAACTTGAAATGATGATATTCAATGTTAGCTTACATCAATGGAACATAATCTTAAACGTGTACGGAAAAAAAACATCAGTATTATTACGCATTAGGCCAAAGAAAAGTTTGTGTCCATGTACCTTATGTACAATAAATTGAATATAAATAAGGTGTAATTTTGTAGCAGAGATGCTGAAAAATTCACATGTAAGTCAACCGAAGGGAAATGAAAGTATTTATTGTATATATTTAGCAATTTATTGAATAGCATTTTATGCCACCGCTGATTTTTTTTACGTCAATAACTCAAGAGGAAACAATGGATACAATATGTGGCCTTAAAAAAAACGTACTATTTTCGCAAAAAAATGGTTCGCAAACTTTCATAGAATCAAAGCGTTTGAAACAAAAAATATTATTATATAAATAGGGTAAAGTGATGTGTCCGACTTACGATCACTTTACCCTAATAAAAAACAAGATTACAATACAAGTCTGGTAAAACTTGGTTTTGACTAGATCTAGTAGGGCACACCGCCATTGTTCGGACCATCGACAGAATAACGTTCGTGTTTTTCAGATTTCTCCATCCAAGACATAGATTTGCTGATGAATAACATCGCAAAGGTTTGTGGAAATGCTTTTATTTCTTTGTTCAAAATCGTTTTGTGTTTGCAGATGTAAATTTGTTAGACAAACGAAATTAGGTCAAGGATTGTTTACATTACTGAATTTACAGGTAAACTCGGCCCTATACCAACTCGGGACAGGTCAACTCGGTCCTCTATTAAAAACCATATATTAGGATATAGATTGTTTAGATTGTTTAGTTAATAACATATTGTTTGAAATTATCTTTAAGATAAATAATTATCTTAAGAAGAGATATCAAAGACAATATATGTTAAATATTAATCAATAAATAGAGTTTTTAGATTGAATTTTTGTGACAATGAATTTTATTGTATTTAATACTGTTTGTTTTTTAATATGACAAATGCCTTTTTAACGATATTTTTTACAAAAAATCTGAAGTAGCATAAAATGCGTTTAAATTGTAAATTTTTCTTTCTCTACAAATTCACATACTTTTCAATATCCTTGAGTAGATGTCTGTTAGTGTGAAAATGTTAAACCATGAAAGTTATGATGGAAACATATCAAAAGTAAGAAAAGTAATCATTATCAGTAATATGTAATTATGGGCCGAGTTGACCCGTGCTGAGTTGGAATAGGGCCGAGCTGTCTCAAGGGCCAAGTACGTTTAAGGGCCGATCTGACCCTGATTCGAATTTACAGTGTTGACTGTTGTGTAGGATTTGCTTTTCATTTCTATTGTATATAGACTATCGATTAACATAGAAATAAGTTTATAATATATTATATTTAACTGTTGTGTACAATTGATATTCGATGTCATGGCCCTCTTGATTTTTATTTGGCGAGGTCCGAGAACAGGCAGCCTTTCGCACAGACTGCAATTTGCAGTTGGTATAGTAATTTTTAGTGTTTGATGATCGAAGATTTTTTCCTTCTGAAAATCATGGACTTGAATAATTCAAATCTGTGTGAAAGCGCAAAGAGAAAGAGACTGAAAATTAATTTATTATTTCTATGGACAATATTGATTGTAATAAATTTGTAATAAAACATGTGGGTCAATTTCCAGCAGTAATTGAATCATGACAAAGTATTTTTAATAATTTTATTTAACTTGTGGCTACTTGAAAATTTCACGCTGGATATTTGCTTACCATTACATTTTGCATAAGAGCTCTATGATGACATTAAAGTCCACGGGCCAATTCATTTCTGATATATCTATAATCTTTCCGATTATAAGAAAAAAATATATATATGTTCATTCTTTGTAAAAATGTTAGAAGACTTGCAAGTTACCAACTTTATCATTGCATTTATTTATTATTGAAAAAATGCTGAACAGCTAGTCTCAACAGTGTTTATAGGCTAGAATTTTCAGTTTGCATTAGGGCCAAAATTATTAAATATATTGTTAGTCATGACGGCTTTCCCATTGCTGTCATCAAACTTTAACCTTGTTCATAACTTTTTCAGATCTTGGTGTATTGTCTTCATACTTGGCCACAACAACCCTTCAAATAGACCAGACTAAACTAAATTAACTTGACCACCATATTAACATTCAAGGTAAATGTCTAAATTTTCTTGATTTTTGCTATTAGTGGCTATAACTTTGTTATTTTTGAATGGATTGTCTTCAAACTTGAACAACAATCTTTCAGGATAGGACCTGACTCACTCATAAATGTCCTTGAAGCTTTTGTGATCAGAAATTGTACAGAATAATACAAACCCAGAGCAATTTCATTCACTTGGTTTTGCAACTTCTGAGAAAATGGATTTTAAAGATAGTTGTTTTCTTGAAATTTTCAGGACAGTATAGTAGATAGTAAAGACATTTAATACGAGGGTTGTTCAAAAAGTAATAGGACTGCAGCTCTAATGTTCACATTTTTTAATTTACGTACATAATTTTACAAGAAACAAATATCGGAACATGTTCTCTATATACAGTGAAAATTTCAATACAAAATGTTTACAAATAAGAATTCTGTGAAATTTTCAAATGACAAGGGGTACGAAACTCGGCGCACGCAAAGAATACAATAAAAGACGTTCATGACGTCGTTAACTAAATACAAAATATAACAAGTGTCATTCATTCTGAAAGTATTCTCCCTAGTGTTCCAGGTGTCTGAATTATGTGACCATCAGTGGAGATTAAAAGAGAAAGAAAGCGATCACAATTTCGTTCAACTCTCCAAAAAAAATGCCCGATAACCGGCCATTCTCGACTTGTCTCGAAATATTTTGAGTAAACTGGGAACTCAACAAGCCTGGACTTAAAATGCTAAATATGCAAAAGCGATTTATATTATTATATAATTTTTACATGTATCTCAACGTACAAAATTATTATATACAGTAAAATAACAATATTTATCAATTGAAAGGTATCATTTATTAAAACAAAATTGGGAGAAAATACTACTAATCATTACTGTTAATCATTATTATATTCATTTTATTAAACCAAGTATATATAATGAGAAACAATAAAATAGTGTTTGATAGAAATGACTTATATACAATCCTTTGTTTAGAACTGAATAAGTAGACCCGAAGCAGACATAAAACGTGCCGGACAGTCCGCGTACCGTTTTACCGTCGATCCATTTACAGCGCTTTTGCAATTGACGTCACTAACGTCCCTTTTATCCTCACACTTTCCTGTTAGAGATTTTGTAATCGCCGTTTTTAAATTGATTGTACCAGTTGAAAACGAGTGTCCTGATGGCAGGATAATTTTCCTTTCTTAATTTTATTATTTTGTATGTATCTGAAATAAAATTGCGAATTTGTAGGCACAATGTAACGATCGCACGAATTTCTGTTTGTTACCGAGTGCCGTATTTCAACATTTAACGTCATGACCACCGCTGTTCAAAACTAAATTATTATGCCATTTCATGCCCTAATGATGTCAAATTTAGATATAATGTCACTTAAATATAAATTAATGTGTTGGTGGAATATATGGACAAACAGGGTATAAATTATGAATAAATTTGAAGTACAACTTAGCTTCAATAACTATTTTTATGTGCTGCGCCGGGTGTGTGTTACCATGGTTATTCAATATCACAGGAAACACGCGTTCATCACAATATATTAATAAACTTATGCATAAATTGTCGAAAACATTTTACGATCCCTATATACATATGAAAATATTCTAAATTGGATGAAATATGAATATGCAAGACTCTCAGTCCTATTACTTTTTGAACAACCCTCGTACATACTGTATATACACTATAATTACTATAGTATTCTATAAAAATCTTTATGCTTGGACAATTTTGAACAAATTGTTTCTTAAACAGTGTAAGAAATTAGGATTTGAATCGACTAGGCTGGTCAGACTACTAGATTGGAATATTCACTTGTCCAAAAGACATTTCACTAGCACGATTCATTTGTTCAAAACAGTTGTTTATATTGCCTCTGAAAATACAGTAGCCTGGTTGGGCTTGTTACTGTGAAAAGTTGATAGCCCAAGGAGAAATTTAGTAGTCGGGCTCTCGACTACTGCTAATTTCAAACACTGCTTAAATTATTGATTTGATATCAACTAACATAATTATTAGGATACTATATGTATATCTAATAATAATTATATTTTATGTTTCAGAAGTTCGGCCTACATGTCAGATTTATGAATGTGAACAGCAAATATCGATTTTAAGGATGCTTTAGGGTCAATGACAATGAAATCACGAGAGATAAAGGCTAAAATGTGAGACTGTCAATCTGACTAACCTTGAAGTGAACAAATGGAAAAAATGTTTCTTTCAATAGCATGGGCTTTTAAGGAAGAGGTACATGATTATTTAGAAGTATTTGTATATGATATTTCTTAATTATTATATTCTAATAGCTTTTTTTTTCTTGACTTGTTTAAAGGCTGACACAGGACAGTTTATTTTAAGTCAGTGAGCTTCAGTCACTGGATAGACTATTGTCACAAAAAGCCAAATTTATAAAAAAGAATTACAGTGTATTTAAATATCTTATACAAGAAATTAGGAACAAAATTAATAGCAAGAACAATTGTGACATGTAACATGTATTTAGGAATTCAGCTTTCTTTTCCTTTTTACCTCAGGACAATTCACATTAAAATATTGAATATTCACAGTAAGCAGTGTTAGCACTCCGACATATCTGACATATATGATCATCTTATCATCACTTAGCTGTCTATAGCTTATCAGAATCACTCACATTTATGAATTTAAATAATTTTGAAAAAAATGCTGCATAGCAAATAGATAAAATACTTGGGGTGTCTGTGACTGATTGGTTTAGTTTCTTGACTTTAAACCTTTAAGCCTTTCACTGCTGTAAGTTCGTGCTCGGCAAGGGTTTACAAGTGGAATTTTAACTTTGCAATTAACTTTTTCTAAACAAATATTTCAGGAAACAGAGGCGCTTATATGATAGAACAGTAAAAGCAGGAGTGATAAGGAAAGATACATGTAGATGTGTCTTCATGTCGGAAACACTAAAGAAATAGAAATATTGTGGTTTTATAAAACTTAAAAGAAATTGGAATATCAGGAGACTCCCTGCCCTTTGCAATGTTGGATAATGAGTTCTTAGATGTGATGTCGAAAGCCTCATGAATATAGTACCATGACTTAATCTAATTAGAAAAAGAAATGACATTGAGGAGAAAACTAGTCACCAGTCTTTCACCAAGAACTAGAGATAACTTTCCAATATTTGAAATATCATAATATGTATAGAACTTTATTGAGCCACCAGTTTTTCACCAGGAAAATAAGATCACTTAACTATTTTTAGCTCACCTGTCACAAAGTGACAGGGTGAGCTTTTTTGATCGCTTTTCGTCTGGCGTCCACTTTAAATGACATCTCCTCATAAACCACTAAGCCAATTTCATCCAAATTTCACAGGAATGTTTCTTTGGTGGTCACCTCTAAATATTGTTCATAGAACGCTGGTTGCCATGGCAACCAAAAGAAAAAAACTTAAAGTATCTTCTTTTAAAGAACCCAAAGAGCTAGAGCTTAGACAAAGTATCTTTTTTTAAAGGTATGAAACATCTTCTAGTGAGTGTCTACCAAGTTTGTTCAAATAAAAGCCCTGGGGGTCAAAATTGGCCCCGCCCCACGGGGTCATTGAATTTCCCTATATGCATATAGTAAAAACTTAAAATCTTCTTTTAAAGAACCAAAATAGCTAGAGTTTAGATATTAAGCATGAAACATCTTCTTGTAAGTGTCTACAAAGTTTGTTCAAATAAAAGCCCTGGGGTCAAAATTGGCCCCTCCCCCGGGGTCATTGATTTTCCTTATATGTGTATAGCAAAAAACTTAAAAACCTTCTTTGAAAAAACCTAAATAGCTAGAGTTTAGATATTAAGCATGAAACATCTTCTGGTAAGTGTATACAAGGTTTGTTCAAATAAAAGCCCTGGGGTCAAAACTGGCCCCGCCCCAGGGGTTTCATTGTTTTTAACTATTTGTGTATAGTAAAAACTTAAAAAATCTTCTTTTAAAAAACCCAATGAGCTAGAGCCTAGATGTTTAGCATGAAACATCTTATGGTGTCGACCAAGTTTGTTCAAATTTAAGCCCTTGTATAAAAATTGGCCATGCCGGGGTGGGGGGTGGTGCAGAGGTCTTTGTTTTACATTATATGTGTGTAGTAAAAGCTTAACATCATGAAACATCTTCTAACGGGTGTCTTACAAAATTGGTCAAATAAAAGCCCTGGGGTTTAAACTGGCCCTGCTCCAGGGGCCTATATACACATGGCCCTCTTGTTCAACAATCTTTTTGAAATATGTATGAACAAAACTTTATCAATTTTAAGCTTTTATTGAAGGAATTTGAAATAACTTTGCAGAAATGATTGTTATAATAAGACAATGAGTCATGTCAACAACCAGACCCCTACCTCCAGGGTCAAGGTCGCACTTGCTCATTCAAGGTCAACTTGTCTATTTGAGGGTATATCTCCTGTCTGGTCTTCCCTATCTCTAAAGGGATTTTGTAAATTCTTGCCACAATTGCTCACAATAATGAGAAGATGTGTCTTGCTCAACAACAGCTCACCTGCCTCCAAGGTCAAGGTCACACTTGGAGGTCAAATATTAGCATAGCCTGTTACAGGGTATATTTCGTGTCCGGTCCATAACTTTGTCATTTATTGAAGGAATTTGAAATAACTTGGCACAAATGTTTGTTATAATAAGACGATGATGTGCAACAACCAGACCCTTACCTTCAGGGTCAAGGTCACACTTGCTCATTCAAGGTCAACATTGTCCATTTGAGGGTATATCTCGTGTCCAGTCTATACCTTTCTTATCTTTGAAAGGATTTTGTAAATACTTGCCGCAATTGTTCACAACAATGAGATGATGTGTTATGCGCAACAATCGGTCACCAACCTACAAGGTCAAGGTCACACTTGGAGGTCTAAGATTAACATAGCCTGTTATAGGGTATTTTTTTTGTCCTGTCCATAACTTTTTTGTATATCAAAGGATTTTGAAAACACTTGGCACAAATATTCACTATAATAAGACAATGTGTCAAGCGCAACACCTGCATCCCTACCTCCAAGTCAGGGTCACATTTCGAGGTAAAAAATAAACATAGTCTTTTAAAGGGTATATATTGTGTCCAATGTAGAACTTCTTCATAGTTCAAGGGATTTTGAAATAACTTGGCACAAATAGTCACAATAATAAGACGATATGTCAATTACAACACCTGCACCCTGCCTCCAAGGTCAAGGTCACACTTAGAGGTATAAAGGAAACAAAGTCTGTTATATGGTATATTTTATGCCCCGTCCATAACTTCTTCATAGATGAAGGGATTTGGAAAATACTTGGCACAAATAGTCACAATGATAAGATGATATGTCATGCACAACACCTGCACCCCTACCTCCAGGGTCAAGGTCACACTTAAGAGGTCAAAGCAGGGATTTTTTCCAGGATTTTGGGAACATAACCCATACCCATGCAACTGGGAATTTCAGCGATATTTTGTTAAAATTGGGAAAAAATGTATGACTGAAAGTTTGAAGCGATTAAATGTATGCAAGCAATCACTGCCTAGGATGGCTTCTTCAAACATTTAAACACTATTACAGTAAAGAAGCCCTTATTTTCAAAGATTTTAGAATTCTTTATTTCAATATTTATATTTTAGTAACTTTCAATTGGGAATATTTTCCTTTGGATTGGGAAAATAATATACTATTTTCAATTGGGAATATGTCCCAATAACGGCTATAAAATAAGCCAAAAAATCCCTGCAAAGCTTAACATGATATATTTTGAAATTCAGTATTTCATTTTATTTCTTTAATAAATTTATTGTTGCATTTGCAGATCCAGCATTGATCATAATTTTGGACTGAAACTCCTTAGATCCCTGCCTCAATCTTTTGAAATAGCACAATTTTTTGCTTCATATAAAACTTCCCTGAGGCGGGGGACGTTGGTATCTCTGTTACAAATTCTTGTTTATTTTACCAACAAGTGTTCACTTTCAAACTTTTGATCATTGTATTTTTTGTACTACCTTTTGTATAATGTTGTATTTTATTTATGTTCTTATTCTAAGATTAGCATGGCCAACTCATGAAAGTCCAAATGATGGTCAACTTTTTTATGTTTTTTTTTGTTTTTTTTTTTTTAAACATTATTTACTTTATTTTTACAGTGTTCCTCTGAATCATACATTCTGTTTTAGTTAAACATGCACTTCTTGTTACTTATTTTCCCATACTTCATATTACATTGATCACGGTTTGATGTGATGGCTCATAAAATTATAACAATATCATTTCTTTGTACTTTACCTAGTAAAATATGAAAACAGAAATATTACTGGCCGTTTGCATTAAAGCTTCTTTCATTCAGATTGTTATAACTTGTATCACCTCAATATGTACCAATAATTTAAAGGGTTTCACTCCATTGAGGTTTAAAAGCCTAAAACATAACATTTGAATTTCTACAGAAATGAGCCGGGGCACTTGATACAGAAATATATGCACAGATAGTGAAGAAATATACTTTGAAATGAATTGAAAATCAATTTTTTTTATGCTTTTCTCAGCCTGATCTGCGTGATATGTGTTTAAACGCTTTCATTTTGGGTAATTTTTTTACAATTTGAATAATTATTCTTGAAAAACGAAGTGCACAAATGATCTGAAATTTTTCTCAAAGATTAGTGGTCAAAACATACATCAAGTGGTACATTAATCTAGAAAAATAAATTTCAGTCTCATCATGTCAAAAAACCTCAGTGGAGTTCCTTTTACACATTTTATCTGACAAACTAAATTTCATTATCTCCATATATTTAATCATTTATTTTTTATATTACATATATTTTTACTTTTATGCAAGTTTTGACAATAAAGGTTTATTTTAAATCATTGTTCTTTGTTTTGCTATGACTTTAACAGCATGTACATCAATTTCATACTAAAACACAATTAGTTATGTTTGAACTTACAAATGTAAGCACATGATGAGCTTTTCTTGTCCTTGAGTTTAAAATAAAAAGTCTCTTCATTAACTATGATTAAATAATGCTTATGGCATGGTCTTGAATTCCTATGAAGTAGTCATATAAGTCATGGCCGATTTAGGTCAAACTGAGTGGTTCTTTGTGTGCATAATGCAGTAGTATTATCTATTAATTCACTTATTACTATATTAGTAACAGAATTGCCTATGATTTCAACTGATTATGAGTGTCACAACTTATGGGTTTGGGGCCCTGGGCCAAGAACTAGTTTTCAGCCCACTGAACATGAGTAGTGCAAAAACGGAAACAATGGCGTCACATTTTACGTCATCAAATCAGCTAGCTGTAGATTGAAGCTTGCACATATTCCTTTGTTTTTAATTCACACGCATTAGGTATTTCTATGAAAATTTCCTTCCAACAGTACTTTCAGTGCTTTGATTTTCATTGGTTCCACATCTAAAACAATGGACGTGTGTTTTGATTTTAGTTTGTATCTTCTTGAATAATAAGTCTGATTTTTTTGTAGTAATCAAGAGAATGTGACAAATCAATACGTTATCAACAATATTAAATATCTGGCAAATAAATTATAAACTTACTTTGATAAAGTTTAGGTTAGTGTTTATTAGTAAGTATTAACAAAATTAAATTGGTCCAGACTTGTGCATCCATGCATTCAACTAATTAAAGTCAGTAAATGCTTACAAATTTACAGTTATAATTACTCATTATATAAGTGTTTACTAAAAACACTAACCAAAATTGTTTTGAAATTATTTAAAATTGTTACGATTAGTACGTACATTTTTGTATTTACAAAATTCGTTCCATTTCACGCCTTTTTCCCAACAGTATTTCAGTCATATAGGCGGGTAGTTTCCTAACCATCGTTCCTGGAGAGTAACACCAGTACTATACTTTCAGCCATGCATTCGACCAATTAAATTTAGTAAATGCTTTCAAATTTACAGTTACAGTTACTAATTATATAAGAGTTTACTAATAAACACTAACCAAAATAGTGTTTGAAATTATTCAAAATTGTTACGATTCATTTGAGATACTGCATTTCTGGTGGACGCTCTTATGTATAATTTATATCCTTCACAGTATATAATGTTCTTATTTACGTATTGATATAAAGTTGAATTTCTCACGAAGAAAAATCTATTTTTACAAAAATTGCAAACAATTATATTTTTATATATATCTTATTTAATTTTATATTTAATAAGTAATAGAAAGAGCATCGAAACACAAGGCTAGATATATACGAGGGGCGGCGTAGCTTCCCGAGTATAAATCAGATTGGTTTGATGTACTTTCTCTTTTGTGTCATAGTCAAACATAAAACCACGTTCCCCGTTGGATTAATATAAAACCCCCGGGAGAAAAGAAACAAATGAAGGGGCCATTTTAATAGGGACTTTAAAGGTGTTTTCC